TGATGTGCTAAATCGGATAAAGTTGTACTTGCTTATACGCCAATTCCCCCGAAGACTGGAGGCCGTATAAAATGTGATGCATAAAAGAAAATGTTGTACTTCACCAACATGTAAATAATGTCATGTCTGAAAAACCGCTTACTCGAAGAATTTGCAAAATTAGCATATCTTGACGAAGATCGTCACCGTGTTTAAAGATGAGATTATATTTTTGGTGATGATGTACAGATAAGTTGTCGCGATTCTGCCATACCAGCCAAAGTGGGCGCTTTTTAGATCGCTTGACGTCACATAACTCTACATTAAGCTCACCAAATGGATAAGAAATACAGAGAGGTGATGATATGCATTCCAAGTCACTCCGTGTCTCCGGATGCGAAAGTAGCTTGCGGAAACGCGAGCGTTGTGATTCCTCATCTAGTAAAGTCAAAAGTTAAAAAGATTCATAAAGATTTTTTATATTATTAATGTGTAGGATTTTTTTAAATAATCACGAACACATCTAACTGGTATATATAAAGACTAAGACGGTGTGGCCGTCTCCTTCAGCTTTATAGTGTTAGTTCAAACTCGTTTTCCCAACTCGGTCGGGCCTTCAGGTAGAACTTGTAAAACGTACCAAGTCCTGTGCCCTCTGCCATAGTATTCGTGATGTCCGACCACGATGCTGGCGAAACGTTTTTGAATGTACCAAGTCAATGGCCCGACGCTGGACCTCACCAATGTTAAGGACACAGAACTAGGTGCGTGCCACAAAGTCTACCTGAAGCTCCGACCAAGTTAAGAAAACGAGGTCTAGCCAACACCACACATCTAAATGTTTGTCGTTTATAAGTAGAGTTTCGAGACTACCAATATATTATTAATAATAGATCTAGTTATCCTATTTTGTTTAAACTGATGAAGAACTGGTATTTGAATTTTCCCACAAGCATATGAGTAGAGCAGACATTTCCACTGAATTTCGCATTAACTTTCTTTCCCAAAAGGTGTACTTATCCTGGGTGGAGTGCAGTTTCGATCTCGCCTAGGTATTATCAACACCCTCATCGAGGCTCGAACTGACAATACAGCGTGTAATCTTGACACTAACAACGACGCGACATCGCTAATGTCGATGTTCTCTTATAGTGCATTTACTTAAAGAGAAGGCGGAGTA